TTCTTCGGGCTAGGGTCAGTATGGGACCTCCACCAGCCAGATTTCCTGCTCTGGTTCCGGTTGCCGTCGCTTGTGGCTCGGCGGGCTCGTTGCGGCCCGCTGCCTAGCCGGCAGCTAATCAGGGCTTTGCTCGCAGTGTGGTAGGTTTGTCAGCTTTGTTTCTTATTGCCGGAAGCCCGCAATGCAAAGCCCCAAGCCTGGAACCATTGCTGAACCCCCCGGACATGCCCTACAGAAACCCTACACCGCCCATTCAGAATCATATGATCTATAGTCTAAACTCCTAGTATCTCTCTTACTAAGCCATATACTACTCCCCCATATAATCCCCCTTGTAACCCCCTTTAAGGAGTTTCGACCATAGATCATAACAGGAGAGGCCGCAAATCCCTAAGGGATCGTGCAGCGCAGCAAGCCTTTAGTCTCAGGCAGCCCTAACAGAAGGATGTTTGTGATCCTGGTGTGATCCCAAAAAGGTTTTCTTGAAATCCGAAAATTAAGTCGCAAACTCTAAACCGTAAACCCTGACCCTAAGCAGTAAACCCCAAACCCTACATCCCTAAACCCTAAAGCCCCAAAGCCTACAGCCCTAAAGCCCTAAACCCCTTTTACCCTAAACCCTAAAGCCCTAAGCCCAATCCAGGAGGGGCTACCCCGGGCAACGGCAAAGCTCGAAGCAGGAGGGACTGCCGAGAGACTGTCCTTGCCACTTCCTGAAAACAGCTTAGGGTTCAGGGGTTTAGGGGTTTAGGGGCTTAGGGGTTTAGGGTTTAGGGGCTTAGGGTATAGGGGTTTGGGTATAGTATTTAGGGTTTAGGGGTTTGGGGTTTGGGGTTTAGGGTTTAGGGTTTGGAGTTTAGGGTTTATAGTCCCTATTAAGTAGATAGAAAATGAGATATAAGGGGATCTTTTTATAATATACCCAAAACCATATTCTATCTACTTTAAGGGAATTATAGGGGTTTAGGGGTTAGGGGTTAGGGTTTTAGGCTAGAAGGTCTAGGGTTTGGGGTTTCGGATTAAAGGTTTGGAGTTTCGGGTTAAGGGTTTGGAGTTTCAGGTTTATAGGGTTTGGGGTGGTTTTTAGGCGACGGAACGGAGGAATAGATCTCTTTGTTCCCCGCATGAGCTTCCATTTTCTTTTCCATTCCAAAGTCCCTGAACCGTAATTACACCCCAAACCCTAAACAGTATAACTTGGGTACTGCCCCCACCCAGTAAGAGTCTATATTAGGGGTCGTGTTAAGGGCTATATATAACCATATTATAATTATTATCCAACTGTTACTGAGGGGGTCCAATACCCAACCTAAACAGCATATTACTTCCATTCTCTTTTCCACTCCTCCATCCCTACTACGAACCAATCCGCATCAGTATCAGAGAGCTTAAGGGTTTCGGGAGTAAGGGATGGCAATCCCAACATACGGGTTACGTATGAATTGTACATTGGTATCCATTTTGGGTCCGAACTATTTTACACCCAATCTTACCCCTATATAACCCATTATAGTAGTTGCCATTTTATTTTCCATTATCCCCATATAACCACTATAGAACCCCGATTAACCCCAGTATAATCCCAGTTTCCATTTCATTTTCCATTTTCTTTTCAGATTGATTTCTCCATTATAGTAGCTTCCATTTTCTTTTCCATTATATAACCCAAATAAAGCCCCTTGACACTAAGTTGAGCCGAGATACCTTACTATAATATAGTAGTTTCCATCTTCCTTTGCATAATCCTTATATAACCTCAATATATATATATATAACCTATAGCCCTTCTATAATCCCTATAACCCCTGTGTAAACCCTATATGATCCCTATAATCCCTATCAAACCCCGAGGTTACGCGGCCATGGAACGGCACGCTGATCGCGTCCGCTCCGTGCTGCGAACAGCTCGGGCCCAGGGCAACGTGGCCATCGTCACGATGGCTGCGCCTTGCCTGCTGGGTTTTTCCAAGGATTTAGGGTTTAGGGTTTAGGGTTTAGGGGTTCAGGGTTTAGGGGTTTAGGGGTTTAGGGTTTAGGGGTTTAGGGGTTTAGGGTTTAGGGCGGTTCAGCACTTGCCTTGTTTAAGGGGGGGTTGACGGGTTTGGGGTGTAGCGTTTGAGGCGTGTGGGCTGGGGATCTAAGCTTAGGGGTTCAGACTTCAGGCAAGGGTTTGGCGTTTGAGGATTAGGCGTATGTCGGTCTGTTTCGATTAATGGGTTGCTCGGGCATATCCACAATAAGATTTGCGATTTTTGAGAGATTCGCCTTTCTGTGAGTGCACACGCATCGCCGGGTTTGCTTCTGGGTTCAGGGTGTAGGGCTCTTTTGAAAAGACCTAGTCAAATTGTACGAGCTGTAGGCTTGTTAGATGAGGGCTGCTTAGAGATGGCCTTGGTTGTGCGCGGTAGGGCAAGGCGGTGGGTCATGGACCATGCTGGTTGATTAGATTGCGGCTTCGTAGGGATGATGCAGACGCGAACAAAATCAGATGAACTTGAAATCCTTAACGCAAAGCCCCAAACCCCAAGAAGGTGCGAAGCTTTGATAAAAGCTACGACACTGAACCCACAAATGCATTGCTTGCGTATGCTTCCTACACAACAGAAGAGATTTGTTTGTTTCTCAATTTGGGGGTGCCCTCATGTGGCCCCCCCCAGCGGTTAGGGCGCAGTTGGGGTATTTCAAGAGATTACCATAATGGGTATATATAGTAAATAGTAGGGTTTCCCCAATATAGTAACTTAATTTTCGTTTTTTTTTTTTCCTCTTGGGAAGGCGTGTCAGGCTCCGCGATATTGCAGAGGATGAGAAATGGTAGCTTCCGGCCCACCTTCGTAAGGTATTCTTACAACAGGTACTGAAGGGATCGATGGAAACAATTATATCGAGAATCAAATGGGAAAGAACATGGAAAGTGAAATTGAGACTAGGGTTATAAGATGTGTCTGGGAGGGCGCTTAATGAACGGCCCCCAGTGGGTAAAAGATGGTAGAATCGCTTCACGAATTTGAACAGGGTTCCGTAGTACACCATACGCAGCAGATGCAAGGGTTCAAAGGGGAGAGTCAAGCTTCTCTGTTGCCTATTCAGGCTTTTCAATTCTGAACACTAATCCCTTCCCCCAATATTAAACCACCCCAGCCTCCTGATATTAAATACTCCCAATATTCAAATATACCACATACTGGTAGTAGTTGATATTAGCGGGTGGGGGGGTTTGATATTAGGGGGAGGGGATCTAATCCTAAACCATATGAGATTATTGAAAATGGGGGGGGGGATTTACTCGGGAATGGTAATATTAGGGGAAGGGATTAAACCCTAAACCGCTTAAAGGCAAAGCTGTTGTGCGGCATGGGTTCAGAAATTAAAAAAAGTTCCCAAACAGCAACCCAGTTTTTGCTGCAATGACAAACTTGGCTGAAGAGAGCATCCCATATCCTTAGCTTTGAAAACTACCACATGGGAGAGGCGTGAGTTGCTTGCGCTTTGTGCTTTTTCGAATTTGGTAGTTCCCATGACAGTTTCCGATTCATTTTCCGTTTGATTTTCGATTTGATTGTCCATCATTGGGGGGATATTTCCGCATATAGCCCCTAAATACTCTAACCTTGGGAAACCCCTAATCCCTAGATGTCCCTATAAGATCCTATATAATGCGTGTATCCACTTGAAAAGGGACCCCTGATTTGTGGGGAGCCCCCTTAGTAACAAGCTGCAACCTTGCTTAGAGACAACCCTAAACCCTAAACCTTAAACCCTAAACCCTAAACCCTAAACCCTAAACTAACGTTACAGAATTGCCGCTGCAAAGAGGGCTTGGGCTTTAGGGTGAAGGGGTTAGGGTTCAGGGACTGCGCCATTATTTTTGTTTATCCCCTAAACCCTAAACCCTAAACCCTAAACCTTAAACCCTAAACTTATCACTCTCACCCGCTTCGCAAGAGCAAGTTAAGGTATGCAGTACTGGCCTGCAGTGCCTGTTGAGATTATCTGATCCCTGCGGGGTATGGTTGGACGTACATTGTTTCCCTGAATGCTCCAGCATTTGTCGGCGCGTTTTGTACCTTCATCTTGTGGCTATTCCTCAGCGAGGTTCTTACAATGTTAGAACCTCTAGTACTTTTGCAAAACTTTCTGAATTAATTTTGGAGCTTCGCACATAGGATGCCTACCCAGACAGTTTCGGTGTCCCTGCAAAATCGTCGCGGAGTGTGGGCGTGTTTCGTACTTGCTTGAATTTGCAACTGCGTGCGAGGAATGTCTTGTAAATGAACAAACCTAGGCCTATACTTCTGCGATCTTATAGATCCTGACTTAACCCCCTGACATGCCTAATTCAACCTCTAACCAAGCCCCAAATGGGCCTTATTTACCAATGAAGAGTGTTTTGTCTGTGGTTGGCCGCCTGTTTGTTTGTGTGTTTGCTTGATGATTGAACGGTTCATGCATCTGGTAGGAAATTACCCTGACCCTTGCTTGGAGAGTCAAGGAGAGCGACTAAGTATGGCTAGAATCCCTATACGGCCATAGAATAGGCCGAGTTCTCCCACTTGTCAATCTACTTACTAAGCCCGCCTGACCCTAAACCTTAAATATCCCTTATATACCCCTCTATGTCTCTATATATCCCCCACATATCCCGAAGATCCTTTCAAAGGCCAAATAAAACCGTACTTTGCTAGACTGGTCAGCTGCTTAGGAGAGGCCCTGGGTCCCTGAATCTGCGTCGCAGTACCTTCCAGGCAGGAATAAGTTTGGGGATACTGTAGCCACCAATTTAGAGTAAGATAGTGTCCTCCTTTTAGCCCACGTACTCTACGAGGAGGATATAATCTGGTTCAACCATCAGTAAAACGCTACTCACTTGGAGGGTCAGGGACTTAGTTAGTAGTTTTTTTGGGGGGTAGCTGGGTTTATTATATAGGGTTTATAGCAGCGTGCTAAGTGCCCTGGCCCTCCAATCTGGCATTCCCTTGCAAGGGCTTCAGAGTCATTATATACATTGGCTATAAGGGTTTGCACGTCGCTTTAGGGTTTGGAAATGGGCTTCCTGGGCCAAGGATTTTAGAGTTCGGGTTGGGGATATGGGTTTTAGGACCCTGATGAAGTTTTATTTTATGGTATACAAGGATGAAGCAGGCTTCACGGAAAGCAGCGTCTCAGCCTCAAAGGAGGACGCATGGTTTGAAGTGCATGATATCAAAGGGAATCCACGGATGCCACGCCCCAAGATCCTGGCTCGAAACCCCAAATCAAGCCTTCGACTATCCCAAGACGCCACGTGTCAAAACTATAAAGCCGTGGGGGCACAAGGAATGACAGCAATGTGCTTTTACCCCAAAACCTTGTGACTGCTAAGCCCCAAGCCCGTCAAGGTGATGAAAGTCCCCACCATGGCCACGGCTTTGCCACCACCACCACCACCGCCGCCGCCGCCACCGCCGCCGCCGCTGCCGCCCGCCACATCGCCAGAGCCAGCGCCAGTGCCAGCGAGACCGCAACCGCCACCGTCAACGCCATCGCCACAGCCGCTGGCACCACCATCACCACTTTTTCCCCAAAAAATCCAGAGGAAGGACCCACAAGAAGTTTCATGAAAAGCAATGCGCTTTGTGATTCCTAGAATCTGCGGTGGATAATCCTACCTAGGGTCCTCCACAGCTTGTTTTGTCCACGCTCAAACCTTGTTTTCATCTAAGGTTTGAAATATGGGCCCCTTGCATGGGCTTTTAGGGGGTTCTGGTGGAGCCCTTGACAGTACATATGGGTATGTGATAGGTATATAAGGATCCCAGGGCAAAGGCCCCACACTAGGGGCCCACGGTTTCAATTTTAGATTTCAGTTCTGTTCGTAAGCCACTCTAAAACGCTAAGGCCCAAACCCTAAAGCCTACACCCAAACTTTAAACCCTAAACCCTGGGCGCCTTCGCTGCCCCGATGTCAGGTTTGGACTTGGAGGTCCTCCTCTCTGAGCTGGAGATCCCAATCCTGTACTCTGGGGTTAAGGGTTTCTTGGGTTTTGGGTTTAGCGTGTTAAGGTTTCTAGTGTTCGGGGTTTAGGGTTTAGGGAGTAAGGTTCAAAGTTTAGGGTTCAGGGGTCGGGGCTTGGGGATTGGGTTTTTAGGGGTTCGGGATTAGGGTTTAACATTTACGGTTTGAGGTTTGGGGTTTGAGCGCCTTCTGAGGTTTTCGATTTTGGGCTTCTGCTTCTCGGGTTTCAACTCATGACCTTCGCGCACGAATGGTGAAATCTCGATACAATCAAAGTCCAACAATCATGTAGGTGCCAGGTTGAAGGTGTGTTTCTGTAGGTATGCTGGATACGGTTCAGGCTTAGCAGAGCGTCCTCCGTATATTCCACCTACATTACAGGGTCTTCGACAGGAATGTTCCAAAATGCAACGCATAAGTTTGAGAACCGCCATGGTCCATTGAGCCATATAATTCTACTTGCATTTAATCTAAACCCTAAACCCTCTTCTTGCATCTTGCCTTTGTGACCCAGGTACGGTCCCGAGTTTATGAACAGCAGCGATGACACCTCTTCGCCCGAGGGTGAGGGTGACAAGTAGCTGGGTTCTCATTGAGGTGTTATATGAGCTGTAGCCTAAGGGGTCATATAGGAGATTATACAGGGGACGATTAGGGTTCTTAAAGCGGATGCTACGAGGCTATAGCTCATATATGGCTTCTCCATATCATGCATACCTGTTTCAGGCAAATCTATGTGGGGATTTATGTAGGAAAATATTTGGGCACTATAGAAGTGTTATGGGATAAGATTCATCCTGAATAGGATGTACTCCTGCCATTTGATTCTGCGTTATTGGTGTCTGCATCTTTGGGGTTGACTGGATATGGATCCGCATAGTAATCCCTATACAACCCCAAGTAACATAATTGTTTCCATCTAGTTTAACCGGCTCGAACAGCAAAACGTGGAGACATACTTGCCTGCAAAGGCTTTGTGCAATTGTCGTGTAGGTATGCTGTCAGAGTGGGATTGCAGTGAAAGTTCGTGGGTTCTTGCAAGGTCATCAGGGCTCTCACCCCAAATCCCTTGGATCGCTTGAAGACTCAGGAGGCTTGGTAAGTATGTGCGGGCTTATATGGGCATTGTATCGGGATGAAATAGGCAGTGTCTGTCTAGGGTAGATGAGGGCATTTCTGAGCCAGCGTTGCAACCCCCCCCCCCCCTCCCCTCCCCATGGCATGGGTCACCCCCTTGTCTGTGGATGTTGTGGTCCTGTTGTCCTGTGGTTCTGGTGGTATATGAGGGGGGTGGGTGTATTTGTAGATGATCCTGCTTCACATGCCATACTCCTTCTCATGCTGTTACCCTAATTCTTGATGTTGGCAACAAGTTTATTTGGAGCTTCCTGGGATGTAGTGCCAGCTTATGATAGAGCCTAAGTAGAGCTATAGTTTCAGGTATAAGCGGCACGAAGCTTCACGAGTGAGGACAGTTCCAAACGACAAGGATCGCGACACCAGGGCGCCCCATCCTGTAACTGTTGGGACTTTTGAGATGCGGCGACAGCACGAGGAGCCGAGACAGTTACAAGGATGGCAGCTTTGAGGCGTCAAAAACGACGACAGTTACAAGGATCGAGACCCCGAAGGGCCCCATCCCCGTGACCGTTGGCACTTTTGAGGGGTTTGGGCCAGGGATGGGGGGCCATACCATTGGGTGGGGGGGATCCCCAGGACCGGGAACATATATAGGGGTTTACAGGGTTTAGCGTAATAGGAACCGAATGATACGTGTACTTATGACCCAAGTATACGCCGTCTAAATCCCCGTGAAATAGTTAGAAGTACCAATTATAGTTGGAACCTTCAAACAGTTCGTGCACCCCAAAACCTTCAGCTGGAGCCTAGGTATGTTGCATCGAAGTGTGCCGCCATGCTTGACTTCCTGAAGCAGGGTGCAGACAGCCCGTGCAATCTGATTTCCATTGGGGACTCGACGTCTCTCAGATGAAGAGGGGTTGAACATTTTCGGAGTTTGTCAACATGATCCCTACATATTCCCAAAAAGACGCCATAATCTCCTTATAATCCCTGCATATCCCTGGGGTCCCTCGGGCATCCCTTTTTTGAAAACCCCCATTTAGGTAGATCGGTTCAGGGCTGGACGCATAGAACAAAGCATTGGTGTTAGGAATTTCCATTCTTCAGTGTTCTTCAAGAGCTCGGGGTCCCTGCCTCCCTAAGAAATTCTTGAAAACAACTGATGAACACTTTGAAAAAGCTAGAAGTTCCCAAATCCTTCCAAAAACTTAGGCTATGCACCCTGGAGCTGTACTTGCTGAATACATGAAGCCTGCAAAGCCTTGAGGCCCCATTGCTCTCAAGCCAAGAGCCTTCTAAGCCTTCAGTAGATTCAGAGGGCTGGTTTGGGGTGTAGGGCTGACGGTTGCGGAGAGCTTGCAAAAGATCATGCTGGGCTTCATGCTGGTTGTAGGTGCTAGCCCCAACTCCGAAACCCCAAATTCAAATCTTTGTTTTGACCAACTGGGCTTTTTGAGGAACCCGGGGAAATAAGTCTACTCGGTATCCTTTCGTCTCACAGACTCATATCGCAAATTTCCCAGGCCCAATGCTTTACCCGCAAGGCAGCCCCAAAGCGTTGACCTTAAGAGCCTATATATTCTTCAACCCAAATTTCCCCTTGAACCCAGGATTGAGAAGCATGCAGCCAAGCAAGCATCCCGCACTCACGGCGCCAGGAGACATTTTCTCAAAGGGTTGCTGTGAAAAACATAGAATAAGGGTTTAGGGTTTAGGGCGTAGGGTAACACAACAGGGTTTTATATTAGATAGCAGTTGTTCCTTCTTGTAGTATCTGCAGTTCCTTGGCAGCAACCCAGGTTTTGTTCTCTAAGGGTTTTGAGTTGAAGGGTGTACCTAGAGTACTCTAGACCCTTAAAGAAAGGTAGAGATACCAACAAAGCAAGTACGAAGCCCCGGCTTGTACGTACATCGGTTACCACATGACCATAAATATGTCCTTATATAATCTCCAGAAGCGCTGCAGATCCTTTGTTTACAGGTACATCGGTTGCCCTAAACCCTAAACCATAGGCAAAGATGAGGACTCTAATCTTACATCCCTGAGTCTGAAAACGGAAATTGATCTGGGGATTACATTAAGGGTTTCGGGCTTAGGGTTTAGGGCTTAGGGTTTAGAGGGTTGAGGGCTTAGGGTTTAGGGCTTAGGGTTTAGAGGGTTGAGGGCTTAGGGTTTCGGGCTTAGGGTTTAGGGGTTTAGGGCCTATGGTTTAGTGTTGAGGGCTTAGGGTTTAGGGCTTAGGGTTTAGAGGGTTTAGGGCTTAAAGCAAACACACGCATACCTTAAACTTGCCTAACACGGGGGTTGTTCCAAATTGTGGCCCCTTCATGGATTTCCGTTTTAGTATGGGTTTCTTCGTAATGTATCACAAAGCCCTACCCAAACTCCACACCATCTTTTAAAGCAACCCCCGGACAGAGAGACCCTGCGCCTTGAAAACGCTCCCAGGAGCTCACAATCGCTTTGCAAAACTGCAACTTGTGCTGGTTGCAGTGGGAATTCCCATACTAATATGGAAGCCCCAAAAGGAGCTGAAAGAGGATGCATAGGCAGAGAAGGATTTATGGGGTTTAGTTTGGGTACTGCCCCCTCCAGTAACAGTCTATATTAGGGGTCCTATTAAGGGCTATATATAATCATATTATAGCTATTATCCAACTGTTCGTGGGGGGGGCAGTACTGAAGGTTTAGTGTATACATTCCCCTCCAAGTTGTAACTTGGAAGCTCAAAAACCGCACTTTAAGGCTACTGTCCTTTGTAAGACACGTGGAACTCCAGTTTCCATTTCTTTCTTTCGAGTTTCATTTTCGATTGCATTCTTCTTTATGCTATCCCCATGAAGTAAAGGCAACTTAATTTAAGATCTTTTTAAGATCTTGAGCAACCACCCGCTAGATGTATGGAGCCTGAGTGTTTGTTTGTACGCGCAGCAAGCAATTGAAATAACATGTCCTTCCCTAAGTTTACGTGTTTGTGGTTTGGTATAGGAAGATTTTGAGGATGAACGAGGCTGTTCTCCGGAGTGATGTTTTCTTAAGGGTTCCCGAAGCCAGGATTTTACCGCAATTCTGGTGTATGCCTCTCCCCGATTTCAAAAGGCGAAGTGGTGAATTCAAATCCCTTATCTCCATGTAGCTGGCCATGCTATGGTCTTCTCTTCCAGGGTCCCCTAAAACCCTGAAGCACCTAAACACTTACTTAGGGACAGGACATTCAGCACACTTTGGCATGTTGAGCCTGTGGTGCGGTTTGGTTCTTCGAAGGCTATGTGCTTGCCCACCCAAAACCCTGCAGTTGGCACTAATGCCCAGTAAGCAAACTTGGGTTTCAGACAATCATCAGAACTAATTATTCTCAATAATGTGATATTTGCGAACAGAAGATGGACGTTTGTACCCTAAACCCTAAACCCTCATCGCGCAACTTGGAAGTTTAGGCCTTTGGCCTCACAACGCTGCCCTCTCGGAGGGGACTGCTACCGAGTTGTCCGAATTTGCATTTGTCACATCATCGGTTTCTGTAAGCATTCAGCCGCAGTAGTGCTCAAATAGATACAAACTCAGACTATCCTCTGAACATGGTATTGGCAGTGGTGACCGCAATCTTTCCGTACTAATCCCTCCCACGAAAAGTATAAGCCGTACATAAATCCTAAACCCGCCCCGCGGCTTAACAGCTCGGAGGTAAAGCTGTTGACCGACCCCTCCTTGAAGGAGTTGCTGCCAGGATAAATGGTAGATTTTTCCGTAGGGCCTAGGGTTCAAGTTTCAGGGTTTAGAGCTTTTCGTAAGGAGGTTCAGGTTTTGTTTATGGTTGGGGCCATGAGGAAATTCGGGCTATACTTGCGGATTCATGGGCAGTACAAGGGAGGTTCGGCGCAGGATAGCTACCCTTACCTTTAGTTCCTACACCACATGCGGCACTCAGAAGTCTACTTTATAACTCCTCACCTCCCCCTTGGACTAGATTTTCCTCCAGTGTATCATGGTATATTAGGCGGCTGGGGGCTTATAAGGCCAGGAGATACCCATGAATGAGCCTAGCAATTGGCTTAGCCTGCAGGGCTGGGCTCAGGGATTAGGGCTAAGGTTCAGCGCTGCGGGGCTACGGCTGGGGTTCTCCAAATTCGCTGTCCCCTTCAGTCAGGGTCCTCGTCACGGCGATAATAGTTTTCTTTCGTGCGTGGGGAGAGTCTTTACTCGCAGAATTTCTCATGTCCCGTAGGGCGAGTTGCAAGAAGTCTTGAGAGATTCTGGGCGTATTAGACTTGTGGAGATTACAAGGATTTACCGTAGATTTCTGCACGCAAACTCAATTGCAAATGTGGAAGCAAGTTCTTATTGGTTCGTAGTAGGGAATCAGGGAATATGATCCCTATATCCCCATGTGAAAAGATATTCCCGTGTTTGCTACTAAGCCTCAGTAAGTTTCGCTCAAAGAGAAGCAAGGCAGAAAGCAGTTCGATTGTAACCTACCACCTGCTATGTCCCTGAGCCTTCAAGTACAGATGACCTTCCGCAAAGCTCGCCCGATAGCTTGGGATGGAGGAGGGCAAAGGATAGGTAGGAAAACATTCACGTTATGACATTGATACCCTCCGTGGTTGCAATCGTGGATAACACGTCCTGCCCAGTACTACGTTGGGTGGCTGAAAATTATTGACTTTCTTGGCGAAGTAAATATCAAGGGGCCATACTGGGCCTCAAAAGACAATCCACTTCTCACCTCACAACCTACCATATGTGGTTAGGTACAGAATTAAGGTTCAGCCATGTTCTAGGCCCTCACATTTCACGAATTGCGGACTGCCGAACTCAGGTCATGCGAATTGGAGATTGTACAGATGTGGCTGGAGCGATTAGCCAAGCACCTCCAGCCAGTAGACGTAGACGCGGAGTCAGTGGAAGAGCTGCAATCGGCAGTGCAGAAACTGCTAGCTGCGTAACCGTCTGGGAAGCAGGAACCCTTAATTTCGGTTTGACACTTGTACAGTGCCGTTGTATAGCTGTCCGGCTTCTTGATCGATTCCTCACATGTACAGAGCAGGACTCTCAATCTCAGCCGATGATTCCTGACACTAATCCACAGCGAGACAAGCGAAGGCTTTGCTCTCATGTTCGCCTCGTTTCTTGGCAGCCTTGGTCAAAGTTGTGGTAGTGTCAGGCTTGGAGCCCCTCCCTGTTGAGGCTCCTTAAGATCAAAGGGACTTCCTGTTTTGGGGATGTACACGGACCCCTACTTTGCAAAGTTCACATGCTTGTCTACGAGTTGGAAAGTCTACTTGGAGGTTCAGGGTAATTATAGCCCAATTAGAACTGTATTTATAGCCCAATAATTTCCCACCTACATCCCCGAATAGAGTTATCATTGGGTTGTAAGTAGCAGTTGTCACTGGTGTATAGTGAATTCCACTTGGCAGTCTCTTTCTCATTTCTTAGGGTCCTTTTAGAAGATTCATAGGGTTAATATAGTGATAAGACCAGTACCCAATGTCCCTTGAAAAGGTTCATAAGCTTATACAGGTATGTATAAGGCTTCATGGGTTGTGGAAAGAGAGAACCAAAAAAGAAGAACATGGACTATGAAATGGATACTGGGGTTATACTGGCATTTACAGGGTCTAGGGCTAGGTAGGATAAAGCCCAAGCTATAGCCAGCTGATGTCCTGTCTCTGAAAGTAACCAGCATAGACATCTCTAGCATTCGCCAATATATCTACTTGCGTGCCCCAAGGGCTCCCCAAAAAGGCCCAGTAAACTTTGCTTAAGGTATGAAGTTTCCATGATATTCGGACCCCTACTATGGTTTAGGGATTGTTGTTGACTCAAGGGATTTCATGTTCCCCGGGCCCCCTTCTTAAAACCCTGTAAGCCATAAACCATGCATATCCCTATTTGTCCTCATATCCCCCATACAGCCTTATATTTTGCTGCATGTTCTCAGGTATCCTTGTTTGCCCCTAAACCCTAAACCCTACACCTGGTTCGTGGGGGCTGACCCAGTTGGCCATTCCGAAGCCTGGGCCCTGCCCTGGTCAAGATCCCTTCTTGCTTGCGCTGAGACAATCATAGCCTTTAAGAATCGCTTTAAGGGTTTAGTTAGCTTACTGCTTCTTACTAGGGAACAAGGGAGTATAATCCGTATATATAATTTCCATTTATATCCCCATTCTCCTTATTAAGAACCAGTAAGTTGGGGTCAGGGTTTCGGCTAGTTATAACCAGTTCTGCACATCTCCCCCTTAAGTATGGAAACTTGGGTTATGATTTCAATCATACCCAAGAGTAACCCTTGAAGAAGGGTTCTCTAGAGCGCAGAATCTTGAATAGTTAGTAAGGTGACCCCCTTTCACCCTGATAATCAATGTCCTTGTTGTATAGCATGCCAAATGCCCCACAAATGCTCCTTGAATTGCTAGGGCGCCTACATTCCCTGGCGCCTAGTAGGCATGAGGGAATGGATCCCTGCAGTAGTCCAAGCGGTTAAGGCTTAGGGTTCAGGGTTTAAGGATTTTGGGTTTAGGGTTTAGGTATTGTCACTGTTCGTTCATGTCCTGCTAAGCACACGGCAGAAGAGCACCCTAGAATCACCACGCCTACCTTGGAGAATGACCTAGTGCAGAAGCCAGACAAATCCCAAATCATGTTTGCTCAGCCATGATCGTCGTAATAGCACCCTAGACTGTAGGTCCTGAATCTTAAACTTTCCAGAAGATCCTGTCAACTGCACTTGGAGCTTAAGAAGCAGGTTTTAAGCAGGCCAACATCATTTGAACAACTTATAGCCCAGTTTATAACCTACCTGCTTACTAAGGTCCCTGAACCTTTTGGCAACTCTTTTGGGCAACTTGTTGATACTTAACATCCTGCATCAGTTTAGCTTAACGTAAAAGCGCCATAATTTCCAAGATAAAGGTATTTAGGGTCGTGCAATTTTTTTTTGCATCCACGGATATCTGTCAGGTTTGGGCAAATCCCACCATCCTGTGCCGTGTCACGGAGCTCCTGGGTGTGGCGTGCTACACATAGCTGAGCAGCCGGGGGGGGAACTGGCACAAGGCCCGCTCACTGCCTAAACCCTAAACCCTACGTACTACACCCTAAACCCTAGTGGAAGGGGAGGACTGTAGAGATGATATCGCTGTTCTAACTGCTATTAGTACTTCTACTTTTTCTTTTTAGTACAGTGTTATTAAAGATGATATGAACTAATAGCAGAGCCATTTTTACTATCATGCTTTGTATTACTCTAGGATCTTGTGACTCGTTGGGGGACTCGGCGGAGGATTTAGGAGCGCTTGTAGGGTTTCGGGCTTCAAGAATCCATTTGCTGAGTTCCCTGAACCAGAACATGTCTACACTTTGTTGAGATGGGATTATGAAACCCAACAAGTGTAAAGCAAATCCTTGTCGATGACTTACCCCAACGTTATCGCAACAAGTGTAACGTGTACCTATCCAGCTAGCAAGGGAATCAGAGTGGTGATCGCTTCAGGCGTCTAGTGGTTCCGGAAGTGCAGCGGCCGCTGCGTGTGGCACATCAATCATTCTGTAGAAGCTTTATATCGTTTCTTTGTACAATTTCAGCAGCAGAAGTGCCTTCAATTCCACTGCGGGACTGGTAACCCAGACCCCTGTTTAATAAACCATCTCCCCTTAATAGGGATAATAAATCCTGAAATTTAGGCCCTTAAAAGGGTAGTTTATTAATCATGGGTCCACATTCGGGCGAGGCACATTTGCCAGTGCAGTCCCCGGGCTCAGATTGCAAGACTAGCTTATTCTGGATCATGGTTGAGCCAGCTTTTCCCAGGCATGAACCAGACAAATCTGAAGCTTTAATGGTGATCCAGTTTTTCTTGCTGCCCTGCTCATTGATGCTACAATGCATGGTGGGCGGGATAGCTTAAGTTGTCTGCTCCTGCAAAAGTGCAGGACTTTAGTACAGAACTCTTCATGGGGTCCCAGGGAGAGCCCCTAAATTGGACCCCCCACCGAAAACCGCAAGAAGCTGCAGCATATACATACCTATATACACGGCCTTCGGAAGTTTGCCTAACATAGGGGCCTAAATAATGTCCAATATTTTGGTTCCCATATTCCTTGTACAATTATAGTATATGGTACGTCAAATGGGCCTCAAAATGATATTGGTAATTATTTAGGCCCCTGTAGTAGGTTTTCTCTTCCCCTCCGGTGTCCCGCTAGTCCCTTATCTTGAGGCGACTTCGCAGGCTGGCAAGTCCGAAACAACCCGCAATCCTCAAACGGGTACCATTTGGGGGTCCCCATGATAAGGACTATAGTATGGTGGGGTCTATATTAGGGTCCCCATATTTAGGGAAACTACAAAATCTTCATACTCTACATCATGAGCCAGCCAAATCGCAAGCCCGAAAACTTTATCTAGGAGTCCCTCACAGCTCAATGACAAGCTTCCTGAGGAAATGGGTGGTTTTCTTGCATAGGTCCAAAGCGCCGAATAGCTGAATAGCTTCACAATAAGGACCCCCAGACGTGCGCCCAAATGTCACCACCCAAAGCCTACATCTAAGATCCTTTCCAGGGGCCCCTAGGTATATAAGGACCCCAGGATTAGGGGCCCACCCATGGACTCACAGTACCAACCCAAAACAATACCTTCAAATTAAAAAACTAAACCCTCAACCCTAAACCCCAAACCCTCCTAAGCACCAACCCCAAAAACCCTGAGGGGTTCCTTTTTTGAGCTCTCCGGGGCCCATGGCTCTGCCATGTAGTTTGCTATTACCTCGGGCTCCGTCTGCAAGCGCCAAAAAGTGGGGTTGTACAAGGTTTAGGGTTTAGGGTTGAGGGTGCTGCCGAGCATCTTGTATACTGATGGTTTCTGATGGTTTCTTCACAGATTGTAGCACCCTGCAGAATTAGGAGAATTGTGCCCTGTAATCCTTACATAGAAAAAGTATGACATACGCAGACTCAAGTGAAATCACTAAGGCAACTACATCAGTAGAGTGTTGGGTTAGGATCCCACTTTGAAATAGCGGTATGTTAGGCATACCGGGGGACCTTGGCGGAATTTCCTCGATTTTCTGTGGTCATTATTAGCAGGTGGTGGCCCTTGCCCCAAACCCAAACCCCAAACCCCAAACCCTAAACCCCTAAATCCTAAACTCTCAACCTGGCCCTCAACCCTAAACCCTGTCAAGGCCAGACTCTAGTGTTGAGGATGGTGGATCTGGTTAACAACGGACAGTGAAATGGTAGCTACCAGGTTATTTAGGGTTTAGGGTTTAGGTTTAGGGTTTAGCAAAACGGTCAGGGGGACTTGGTAAGTAGTTATACGCGGGTAAAGGAAGGTGGGGTATGGAGATAAGCCCCACTATAGTAGAGTATATACTTGAGATCCTTGAACCCACCTACCTTTATCCCACTTTTTTGTGCCCCCGAGTTTCCCGTGCCTCGTCCCTTCAAGTCAGGAGGGGAGGGGTCAGGTTCAAGGAAGATGGTCCTCAGCCTTCAATCGAAAGACCATTGTAGTGGTTTTGGGACATGTAAACTACAAGAATCACAATGGGATCGAGTGCGGAGAGTTGCGAGGCTCAAGAATTTCAATTTTGAATCTGGACTGATAGACCGCTCACGTAGAGGTCCAAAAGTTCATTGCTCTTCTATTGTAGTAAAACGCAACTAGGAATACAAACTGCTCAAACTAATATTGGGGTTATATTGGGGTAATATTAGGGTAATATTGGGGTAATATTATGTAGCAAAACACAAGTAGGAATACAAACTGACAATGTTTGAGAACATATCTTGCGCACTAAAACACAGCAAGAAATCCACAGCTACAGCGTTGAATAGTATCCCAACAAGGAACCAGCAAACTCTAAACCCTAAACCCTAAACTCTAAACCCTAAACTCTAAACCCTAAACCCTAAACCCTAAGTTTGAGCCACAGGTGGC